GTGGGGTGCTCGTGCCCTTGTCCGCGATACGTCCGCGGACAAGCTCTCCTCCCGCACGCTTCCCTGTGTCTTCCTTGGCTTTGTCCCTGACGCGCCTGGCTGGCAGTTTTACCACCCCACCTCGCGCCGGGTCTTCGCCTCTCAGGATGTCACCTTTGACGAGTCGGTCCCCTTTTACCGTCTCTTCCCCTACCGCACTGCCCCCCTCCCTCCCCCGCCACTTTTCCTTGCTCCTGGTCCCCCTCCGGTAGACCCCCTTCCCCCTCAGGGTCCTGCTCCTTCAGGTGTCTCTCAGGTAGACCCTCCTCCCGTCGCTGAGCCTGTCGAGGTCACAGGTGACTCAGGTGCTGCTGCGGGTGGTGCTGCTGGGAGTGCTGAGCCTGGGGGTGCTGAGCCTGGGGGTGCTGGGCCTGGGGGTGCTGGGGCTGCAGGTGCTGGGACTGAGGGTGCTGGAGCTGAGGGTACGGTGCCTGAGAGTACGGAGCCTGGGGGTGCTGCGCCTAGGGGTGCTGAGCCTGCGGGTGCGAGGCCTGGGGGTGCTGAGCCTGGGGGTGCTGCGACTGGGGGTGCTGAGCCTGCGGGTACTGAGCCTGCGGGTGCTGAGCCTGGGGGTGCTGCTACTGAGCCTACGGAGCCTCGGGTTACTGTGTCTGGGGGTGCTCCGGTTCGGGGTGTTGAGCAGTCTCTCACACCGCAGCAGCTTCGTGACTGGTACGTCCGACGCTTTCGCCGTCCTAGTGGCTCGGCTGGAGTTTGGGGTGCTGGAGCTACTCGTCCTGGGGGTGCTCGTACTGGGGGTACTGGAGCTGCCGGGACTGGCTGTTCTGGGAGCACTGCGACTGGAGCTGCTGGAGCTGGGGACTCTGGCGCTGGCGGTGCTAGCGGAGTTGGAGCTGCCGACTCTGGGGGTGGCGCTGCTGCTGGTGCTGCGGACCCACCTGGTGGAGCTGCTGCTGGTGCTGAGGAGTCGGACGGTGGAGCTGCTGCTGGAGCTGGGGACCCGGCCGGTGGAGCTGCTGCTGGTGCTGTGGACCCGGACGCTGGAGCTCCTACTGGTGCTGAGGACCCGGCCGCTGGAGTCCCTTCTGCTTCTGGAGACGCTGCGCGGCCGCGACCGTACTTCGTACCGCTCCTTCAGCAGGTTCTTGGGCAGGCTCCTCCTCCTTGTCCTCCTCCCTCCGTAGAGTGTCCTCCGCCTGTCCAGCCGCAGTCACAGTTACCGCCTGCCTCGCCTCTCCCTGCTCCCTCTCCTTACGCTGGTCCCACAGGAGGTCTTACAGAGCGTCGTGAGCCTGAGTCTCGTCCTGCGTCGCCTGTTCGCACTGCTCGCACTGGTCGTCGTGTCCGTCGTGAGCGTCCTCCTCCTGTCCCAGGCACTCACTACATGACTCTGCGTCCCTCTACTGCTCCTCGGCGTGTCCCTCTACCGTCTCCTCCTGCGTCCTCTTTGCCTGCCGTTCCGGACCCTGAGTCTGACCGGTATCGCGCTGAGCACCCTACAGTCACGCGTCTCCTCGCTACTGTTGTCACTGACCCTACCTTTGAGTCCTCGGCTGCGTCTGCTCTGGTCGCTGAGTTGGTTGACTTTGCTGCTGCCTGTCGTCTAGACTACGCTGCTAGCCTTGTTGCTGAGTCTGAGTCTGCGTCTGTCTGTCCTCCGTCCGTCGGGGGTGAGTGTGCTCTTGGCACGGACGTCCTTGAGGACAGGCAGGAGGACTTTGACTCTCTTGCGGCTGCTGTACCTCATCTCGTGGCCTGGTTGCTTGCCCCTGAGGGAGACCCGGATGCACTAGACATCCCCACTCCGCGCACTTACGCAGAGGCGATCTCGGGTCCCTACTCCTCTCAGTGGCAGACAGCCATGGACGCAGAGATGGCATCCTGGAAGTCCACAGGCACCTACGTCGACGAGGTTCCCCCTCCTGGGGCGAACATCGTCGATGGCATGTGGATTTTCAGGGTGAAGCGGCCGCCAGGTTCTCCGCCTGTCTTCAAGGCTCGTTACGTTGCTAGAGGCTTCAGTCAGCGTCAGGGGGTCGACTTCTTCCAGACCTTCTCCCCCACCCCGAAGATGACCACTCTTCGGGTTCTGCTGCACGTTGCCGCTCAGCGTGACTACGAGCTTCACTCTCTTGACTTCAGCACAGCCTTCCTGCAGGGCAGCCTGCACGAGGAGATCTGGCTGCGCCGCCCACCAGGCTTCACTGGGTCGTTTCCCCCTGGTACCCAGTGGAGTCTCCGCCGGCCAGTCTACGGTCTCCGCCAGGCGCCACGTGAGTGGCACGACACACTGAGGACTACTCTTGCGGCTCTTGGGTTCGCGCCGTCTACTGCTGACCCGTCGCTGTTTCTGCGCACAGACACGTCGCTGCCGCCGTTCTACATTCTCGTGTACGTCGACGACTTGGTCTTTGCTACTGCTGACACTGAGGCACTCGCTCGTGTGAAGTCGGAGCTGCAGAAGAGACACACCTGCACTGACCTGGGTGAACTGCGTAGCTACCTTGGCTTGCAGATCACCCGGGACAGAGCTCGCCGCACCATCACCCTGACTCAGTCACACATGGTGCAGCAGGTCCTTCAGCGCTTCGGCTTCCAGTTCTCCTCACCACAGGCCACACCTCTGGCTACCAGCCACTCGCTCTCAGCTCCACCTTCGGACGAGTCCGTAGAGCCGAGTGGCCCGTACCCAGAGCTTGTAGGCTGCCTCATGTACCTGATGACTTGCACGCGACCTGACCTCGCGTACCCTCTTAGCATCCTTGCTCGTTACGTTGCGCCTGGGAGACACAGGCGAGAGCACTGGGAGGCTGCTAAGAGGGTGCTGCGTTACCTGTGCAGTACATCAGGCATGGGGCTGGTGCTTGGAGGACGCGACAGAGTTGTCCTCACTGGTCACTCGGACGCCTCTTGGGTGGACGACCTGGCTACGCAGCGGTCGTCACAGGGTTACACCTTCAGCCTTGGCTCAGGTTCTGTCTCGTGGCGGTCCACCCGCTCTTCCTCTGTTCTCGGCTCTAGTTGTGAGGCTGAGATCTACGCCACAGCCATGGCTGCACAGGAGTTACGCTGGCTCACCTACCTGCTGACTGACTTGGGAGAGCGGCCTAGTTCTCCTCCAGTTCTGTACGGTGACAACAAGGCGGCTCTTGCCTTGTGTCAGGAGCACAGACTGGAGCACAGGACGAAGCACATTGCTCTTCGCTACTTTCTTGCTCGAGAGCTTCAGCAGCGCGGTCAGCTTCGGCTTGTGTACGTGGACTCGAAGGCCAACACTGCTGATATCTTCACCAAGGCGCTCCCGCCTAGTGATCATCAGCGGCACTGTACTTCTTTAGGCCTTGTGTCCACGTTTCCTCACTTGCTCACTGCTTGACATTCTTTGTACTGTACTTTATATATATCTTGTTGCTTGCTTGCTAGGTTTTGATCACTGTGTTGCTTGTCTTGTACTATATCTAGCACTGCATGTGAACTGGCCTTGTGGCCTTTACTTGTGCTCGGAGTGTGGTGACGTTGTGATCCACCCTGGGCGTTGCTTTGCTTTGCTGGACTGGTCTTGTGACCCTTTGTTCTCCCCCACTTTGCCTATGGGGGTGTGTCAAACTGTAGTATGCTTGTAGGCTGTAGTGGGGTAGCCAATATGGGGTACAACCCCAACTAGGGTTTCATATTTGTACCCAAAACTTCTGCTAGTTCATCATTCTTGCCTAGTGATTCTGACAACTGCGTGCTTCTCTTTGCTGTGGTGAGGAGTGCACAGTAATACCAAATGTTACTATTCGTAACAGTATAAACATCTTTGGTGGTGCACCTTCCCTATGCACAGTTCCTTGCACGTTTGTACCCTCGATAATAGTGAACCCTCTTGATTATAGTAAACAATGTTGGAAACAATTAATTTTAAGCCCCTCTGTCATGTCGAAACACCAAGTCAGAAGCGAAGCAAAGTATATTGAAGCACTGGCGAGTCAACCCTCGGAGGTTGAGCAGTTGCTGGAGGTTACGCGAAAGTCAAAGGTCAGCAACCTTTGACCTAACAGGTACAGCACGACAGCAAGGACACACAACTGACTCGTTACAGAGCAGTTGCCCGAGTCGTCACTGTATCGAACCGCAACAGCAACAGTAAAACGGTAACTGTATCCTTTTATATTCCTTGTACTCTTATATAATCTTGTATCTTTTTGCCATAATCAATTTACTTTGCCCTCACATACCAGCGCAAGGTGGTTCAACTACTTTACCGTAAACGCCCGGATATAAGACAGTGTTGAATAGTAGACAGGGGTTGTCTACTATACGGGTGTCTCTTATAAACAGGCTAGCCTCATTATAAGACACCTATTTGTGTGTACGAGATAAGACATATATGTCTTATAATCGAAACTTCAATATATGGTAGCGAAAGTTGAAATAACGCGTACATTTTTACCCTTGCGAAGCGCGAATTCTTCCACGCGCTGACCCAGGACCTACCAAATTTGCCTCAGCATGTGTTCTCCATGACGTGGCGTCCCAGGCAGTGGTTGCCGAAGTGGCACCTTCGCAACATCCACACTCATTATGAGGAACTCTTTTTCAAGAAGTACGGAAAATATTTCTAAGTAGTTTAAAAAGTTTCCATTTATAAGACTTATAAGACACCCTAAACCATCCCGTTTACAAGATAACTCAAGCATTTTTGCCCGTGTACGAGATAAGACATATATGTCTTATATCCGGGCGATGACGGTATTAAAAGCTTCCGCTACCACATCGTTCCTACCCAGAATTCACCCCTGCAAAGATCCTAAGGGCTTTTTCTCAGCCCAACAAACAAGTAAATAATGAACACTTCTTGCACTCCTTTCCTTCTATGGAAAGCGCTTGTGATCCACATCTGAGACGCGTTTGTGGAATAAATATTGATGGAGCACTTGGTACTCTTGTGCCATTCATCACACTTCTTCTTTGCAACTCTTTTTTGGTAATCATGCAGCAACAAAGAATTGAACTCACTAGCTATGGATGAGCATGGCAACACCCTGAGGCGAACCTCTTGACCAACTTTTAAAAGCACCACACACTGACGTGCCATTGATCCAAGGCACCGTCCAAAACCTATTTGTAATGGCAGTATGTACAGATGATGTAGGAACGTACGCTCCGATCGACGGCCGATCGCTCGCGATAGCAACTATCTGGTTATGAACAGCCAGCGCCACTCCCATCACAGCGTCCCTTTCACCTGCCGTGCAAGTGACATTCACCGCAGGCGGTTTCTCAGCAGCTAAGCTCACTCTCTTGAGCTTAATGAATTGAAAGGAAGCCGTGGGTGCCGTGTTTATGACCTCTCTCACGCAGTTAGCGGCATATGATGTGTTGTCCTTGGGTAACTGGTTGCCCAGCATGGCTGCTATGTAGTCAAAGAGAGTGTGGAAGATGAAAACGGGCGTGGCGACAGTGCGTAGGGTGTACTGTGGGAAGAAGCACTTCCACTGCTGGGCAGACTTTGCTGCTGCAGAGGGAGGGAGGGAGGGAGGGGAGCATGGGCGGGCATGGGGGGGGCATGGAGGGGAATGTGGAAGATGAAAATGGGTGTGGCGATGATGCGTAGAGTGTATTGTGGAGAGAAGCACTTCCACTGCAGGGCAGACTTTGCTGCTGCAGAGGGAGGGAGGGGAGCACAGGTGGGGATGGGTCGAAGGAGGGGAGATAGGCTGAGCAAGTTGAGATGCGATTTTGAGTAGTTAGGCAGTGGAGCGTGTTGTGTACTATGGGAAGAAGCAGCAAGTCCACTGCTGGGAGGAGGTTGTTGGTGGAGAGGGAGGGAGAGGAGCAGGGGTGGGGATGGGTCAAAGAAGGGGAGACAGGCTGAGCACAGTGAGTTTGTGAGTGCTTAGGGAGTGGAGCGTAGGGTGTACTTTAGATGGAAAGAAGAAGCATTTTCATTGCTGGGCAGAGTTGGTTGCTGGAGAGGGAGGGAGGGGAGCATGGGGGGCGTGGGCTGGGTCGACGGAAGGGAGACGGGTTGAAAAAGGTGAGGTTGTGGGTGCAAAAGGCAAATAAGCACTGTCAGGGCAAACGTGCTTGGTTGCTTGAATGGGTGGGGAGATGGAAGAAAGAATGAGAGGAGGGAGAGGGAGAGAGAGGAGGGCGAGAGAGAGGGAGAAAGGGGAGGTTCGAGAAGAGAGAAAGGAAAGGAGTTAATCTTAAACCCTTGAAACCGGGAGCAGAAATGAAAGACAAGTATGTGTTTTGAGGTGCAGCAACACGGGCCAATCACACAGCAGTGCAGGCAGGGCTGGCAGCAGCAGCAGCAGCAGCAGCAGCAGCAGCAGCAGCAGCAAGAAGAGCCGCCAGCACTATTCAACGTACCCAAGGTGCAGTTAGGGTTGTACGGTCGGTGCAGCGCTGTGATGCTCTGAGCCAGCGATCTGAAGCCATGCTTGCCCAGCCGGTCCTTGGCGTCTGGAGGGATGGCGTGGATATGGTAGTGCAGGATAGGGAGGTGAAATGCAAAGACAAGTGCATGATGTGGAATCTGTGATGCTCTGAGCCACCCATCTGAAGCCACGCTTGCCAAACCGGTCCTTGGCGTCTGAAGGGGTTTGCGTGTATGGGCGCATGTAGAATAGGGAGAGGAAGTGCATGATGGGGAATATGTGATGCTCTAAGCCACTAACCTGAACCCATGCTTGCCGAACCGGTCCTTGGCGTCTGAATGGACGGTGTGGATGGGGTAGTGCAGGATGGGGAATGGATTGGTCACACGGCATTCTAGGGTTGTTCTATGCATGCACAGTGCTCCTCGTACCTGCTGCATGTCATTCATTACCATGACCCATGGAAAGCTTTTGTGTCTAGTTGTTGCTGCTGCTGCTGCTGCTGCTTCCACCATCAGCAAGCAGGCACTTGATGGGCAACTGAACCCACTCAGACCAACCCCGATTCCACCCTGAATTCGCCCTGAACCCAACACCAGGTGTTTTCAACTACCATGTATGCACCATCAGATCAGACTATCTTACCATCACACGCTCACACCATCACATGTGGTGAAATGAAGGTGTACACAGAATGCGCATGAATCTCATCTCACATCTCTAGGCAGATAGCAGCAGCGGCAGATAGGTGCAAGCAGAGCCTATTACACCTGTGAGAGTTCTAAAAAATGAGCAAGAAGGAACCTGATAGGTGCATGTATGCATGCAAACTAGACCTGTGAGAACTCTCAAAAGTGGGCAGATAGGTAGGTGTGCACATGGATAGGTGTAGCCTGCCTGCAGTGCAGCCACCCATGTGAGAACTCCCACAAGTGGCACCCACCCATGAAGAACCCAGAGTCCACCAGGCATCGGGTGGTGGCGTTTGGGAAGCTCGCCGCCAGCCAATCACAGAGGTTCACCACCGCCTGCCCGCCAGCCGAGCTGCCCGAAAGGAGAATGTCGGACGGAGATTCCATGCCGCGATTTCCCCGCAGATCTGTGCGTTCAGCATGCCGCGCGGGGTTTGTGGGAGAGGAGCATTTTTTAGGCGCCTCAAAAAAAGCTTCCATGCTGCGATTTCCCCGCAGATCTGCGAGGTTCGGTCGGTGTGCCACGTGGAGTGTGTGGGAGAGGAGCAGGGAGCGTCTATTGAGGTGTCACTTCTGGAAAATCTCAGAAGTGACTTTAGCTGTGTCACTTTAAGAATTTCTCAAAAGAGATGTCTGTTGGGCTATGGTTGGGTTGGGGCAGGACAGGAGGAAGGACAAGCTGATGCGAGCAAAGGCAACCTGATTTACCTGGATGAGAGGCACTTGTCACGACTCACGACCCACCAGTTTGGCTTGTGGCCGATGAGCATTGTTCTCTACTAACCATGATGTGTAAACTTTTCAAGAAAATCAAGAATTGCTGAAGGTGGTAAGAAGTTGGGGAGAGGGGGGGGGGGAGAAGGGGAGAGGAGCAACGGGGGGATAGGGGTAGGAAGGAAGGAACAGCTCTCTTCTCGCCTTGCACATCCACAGCACTCCACCCACCTTGCATCACAGCTCAAAAAACATTCCACCCGTCAAGAGAGATGCTGGTGCTGCTAGTGAGCTTGACGCGGCCTTTGGTGCACAAGATGACTTCTGAGTCGACTCGAAAGTCAGCTCTACCCACCTTGCACAATAGCTCGAAAGACATTCCAACCATCGAGGTAGATGCTGGTGCCGTCAGTGAGCTTGACGCGGCTCTTGGTGCCCAAGGTGGTGACTTTTGAGTCGACTCAGGAGTCAGCTTTACCCACCAAGTCAGCTCCACCCACCAAGTCAGCTCCACCCATCCAAGTCAATGCTGGTGCTGTGCCGTGCCAGCATACTAGTTTTGAGGCGCCTCAAAACTAGACTCCACCCACCTTGCACCACAGCTCGAAAGACATTCCACCCATCCAGGTAAATGCTGGTGCCGTCAGGGAGCTTGGTACGCCCCTTGGTGCCGGCATACCCGCCTCCATCGCAGTAGAGCACGCGCACCAGGTTCCACTCATGCACTGCTGGGTTGGCACTGGCATTGGCGCTCAGAATGGCGTCGTACCCGGGCTTCATCCATGGCGCCTGGGATGTTGACAAGGCGGGAAGAGAGGCGGGGAAGGGTGGGGGGAAGGGGGAGGGGGTGAGACATGAGAGGGGGTGGGAAGACAGAGGCGCCAATGTTGGCGCGCTGCGCTGGTGGTCAGATTAAGATCATCATCGTAACCAGGCGTTATCCATGGTACCTGGGAAGGGCGATGGCAGGGGGCGGGGGGGATGGGATGGGAGTGGGTGCTCGACAGAGGAGGAGGCAGCACTGACACTGGCGCTGGGAAGGGCGGCAAGGTGGATATCATTCGTGGCACTCACTCCCACCCGCGCAGCACTCCCACCCGCGCAGCACTCCCACCCGCGCAGCACTCCCACCCGCGCAGCACTCCCACCCGCGCAGCACTCCCACCCGCGCAGCACTCCCACCCGCGCAGCACACCCACCCGCGCAGCACTCCCACCCGCGCAGCACTCCCACCCGCGCAGCACACCCACCCGCGCAGCACTCCCACCCGCGCAGCACTCCCACCCGCGCAGCACTCCCACCCGCGCAGCACTCCCACCCGCGCAGCACTCCCACCCGCACAGCACTCCCACCCGCGCAGCACTCCCACCCGCGCAGCACTCCCACCCGCGCAGCACTCCCACCCGCGCAGCACTCCCACCCGCGCAGCACTCCCACCCGCGCAGCACTCCCACCCGCGCAGCACTCACTCACGTCCGCGTAGGCGGAGGGATCAGCGGGGTACATGCGCGAGCTGCCCAGGTACGTCTTGCTGCGCGCAACGCACTCCGCGCGCGTGGCGCACCACCCGCCCCCCGCCAGGAACACGTGCCACTTGCGCCGCCCCTCCCCCACGCCCGCGCGGAAATAGTACCCCGGGGGACTGCCCGGGAAGAAGGGGAGAAGGGAGGGGGGGAGGGGGGGGGGGGGAAAGAAAGTGCGGCGGGGAAGGGGAGGGGTGGTGGGGAGGGGAGGAAGAAGGGGGAGAGAAGGAGGTGGTCAAGAGGAGGGGGGGTATAGGAATGGTGAACAGAGGGGAGGGTGGTGGGAGGGCGCGGGCGCGCGGAGACCAGAATTGCGATGAGCGGAGAGGGGAAGAGGGGAAGGATGTAAGCGGAAAGGTGGGGGAATCAGTGGGAGGGGGATTGGTGGGGGATGCCTGTGGGTGGCGGAGTGGAGTGGCGAAGGGGGAAGGGAGGGCAGAGGGGGGGAAGTGGGAGAAGGGAAAGGGGGGAGCGGGGGAAGGGAGGAGGCGAGTGGGAGAGGGGAGGGATGAAGACGGCAGGTGGAAGGTTTAGGGATAAGCGAGATGTGGAAAAAGGGGGAGGACATTTGCGACGCATGTGAGGGACGGTGAGGGATGGTGAGGGACGGCCCGGCCGCATGACCACATGTGAGTGGGCTGACCCCGTTCATGCCGCCGCGCCAGCGGCCGTGTCCTAAATTGGCTATTAGTAATCACCTCCCGTCGAGGCATTTAGCGCCGTAGGGGTTGTCGAGCAGAAGCACGAGGGCCGTGTTACCAGGCGCCTGCGTCAGCTATATGGAATCACTTTTGAGAATTCTCAAAAGCCGGTTTCCACGTTGACTGACCACTACCTGCCATCGAGGCATTTGGCGGCGTATGGGTTGTCGGGCAGAAGCACGAGAGTCGTGTTACTCGGCGTCGTCGCCGCTGGCGCCGGCGGCGGGGCTGGCGGGGCGGTGAAAGGGACCTCCTTCCCGAGAAGTGCCACGCGCGCTTCCTGGCGGTCAGACGTTTGACTCGGTGCTGCTACTGGTGGCGCCCGTGTCGCTGCGACTGCGACTGCTGCTGCGTCCATTCCTGCTTCCGTTGCTGTCACTGTAGTGTAGCGGGGTGGGCCGGCAAGCACTAGGAAAAGTACGAGGAGCGGGAGGAACGGGGGGGGAATCGGGAAAGCGACGCGGCGCGGTGAGGCCGAATGCGACACCGTCGGCATCGCTGGCTGCAGGCCTTTTCGGCTGCTGAAATTAAGGCCTGCTAGCGTAGAAGGCTGTTAATCTTAAAGCCTGCTCGATTAAAACGATCATAATGAGGGTGGCGAGGCGAAGACGCGCATGGTGCGGAGAACAGTACGGCGTGCGCTACAATACGACGACTCGCTGAAGGGAGCCGAGTCGCAGGACAGTGCTGACGGAGCTTAGGCTGTTCGTACGGAGTCGCGCAGTCGCGCATTCGCGGAGTCGCGGCAGGCTCCGATGGTCTGCGCAACGGGTGAGCGGCTTGGCTGTTTCTCCTCGCGGCGTCCGGCGCTGCTGCTTCTTGTTCGCTGTGCTGCTGCTGCTGCTGTTTCGCATCGCAAGGTCAGTCAGTCACTCTGAGAATTCCGAAAGTCGGTCTGTGCGGAAAATCTGAAAATGGACTCGCCATGACAATGATATCGCGGCATGTGATGTGACACGCCATCATCACGGGCCGCCGTGGCCCATGGCTTGTTGGTTGGATGAGGTCGGGCATAGCAGCCGCTGCTAGAAGGGCGGTACTGAGCGTGACAAAGCGGTGCCTTACGTTTCAGAATGGTTAACGGGCACTCTACACTCACCGCTTGAATTTTGGCGACTGGATTATGCTGGTTGGTGGGCTCTGCTGTGGCTGTTTGGCAGGTTGGTGGGCTACACTACAGTACATTGATATCCACCAGTCAACATTTGTTATAAACCCATGCCTCCTATACACACTTGCATTGTGCTGAATCATTTGTGTCCCAATTTTACCTGAGGAATTGTCGAACTTCCAGGATGAATAGATATGAACATGTATGCACATACGAACTGACAACAAACATATGGGAGTTGCACCTGCAGCAGCAGCAGCACTGAATTTCAAAAAGAAATAATACGTACGTACCATACCCCTTCGATTACTAACCAATGCAAGCACGATAAAATCACTCCCTCGATCGGTCACTCTCCCTTTGCACCGGCACAGGCTTAAAAAGCAGACCCGTCCTCCCCCCCTCCATGCCATCCCCACTAGCAGTGTCATCAAAGCGCAGAAGCACATCCAGCTCGCTGCGCGCTGCTGCAGCTGCTGACACGCCCAGCAGCAGCGACGGCACCAGATACAGCAAGGCCGGTTGCGCTGCCCCTGTCACTGTGTTCACCCCTGTGGGAGAGGAAGGGGGGAAGGGTGGGTTGATGGAGGGATGGGATGAAAGAGAGGGAGGGTGGCTATGGGGAAGAGGCACCAGGTACAGCAGCGCCGGCTGCGCTGCTCCTGTCACCGTGTTCACTCCTGTGGGTGGGATAGGAGGGCAGGATGGAGGGAAGGCAGAAGGGAGGAGGGGTGGGTATGGGAGGTGGTACCAGGTACAGCAGGGCCGGCTGCGTTGCTCCCGCCACTGTGTTCATTCCTGTGGGTGGGGAGAGGGGGATGGGATGGGAGATGGAGGGATGGGATGGAAGGGAGGGAGGAGGGTATGTGGGTATGGGGGAGGTAGATATGCGGGTGGTGCAAATACATGTGAGGACTAATGTGACCTCATCTTTCGAAATTGGTTCTCTCCTTCGCTTCATCCCTACTGGGCTCTCCCCCCCTCCCCTTCCCACCTCCTGTTACTCCCCGTCTCATTCCCCCTCCCACCACCACCCCCTGATGCCTGCCCTGTGCTGTGCCGCTCATGACAGCCAGGGGAAACGCTCACCGATGGTGATGGCGAGGCCAGCGAGGTACGAGGCAACAGACACGAGGAAATATGTCTTGTCCTCCAGCCCTGCTCCGTCCGGCGCTGCTGCCACCACCACCGCCGTCCCCTTGCTGCTGCTGCTGCTGTGGCTGCTGCTGCTGGTACTGCTGCTGTCGGCCTGTGCTGCCGGATCCCTGGAATGAGCGTCTGCAGAAGCAGGCTCAGCAGCAGCAGAGGTGGCGGCGGCAGCAGAGGAGGAGGAGCGGTGCGAGTCGAATCGGAGCATGAGAGCCATGAGCAGGCCTGGCGCTGCCACGTCCCCCAGACCTAGAATGGAGTAGGGTGATGACGCGTCTACCTGGGAGTGGGAGGGAGGGAGAGAGAGAGAGAGGGCGTCTGAGCGTCTGAAGAAGCAGGCTCAGCAGCAGCAGCAGAGGCGGCGGCGATTCGAGCCATGAGCAGGCCTGGCGCTGCCACGTCTCCCAGGCCTAGAATGGAGTAGGGCGATGACGGAGGGAGGGAGGGAGGGAGGGAGGGAGGGAGGGAGGGAGGGAGGGAGGGAGGGAGGGAGGGAGGGAGGAGAAGATGAAGGATGGAGCGAGTGGGTGCGAGCAAAGTGATCCTTAAAGAAAACAGACAGTGAGAAAGAAACACGACACTGCATGGCATAGCATGGCATCGAATCAAGCACAGCACTATGTCAGCAAATCCATTCAACCTATGAGGCACATGGAGTGGCTTGCAGTCAGGCCAGACAGCCATACGCACCGTCCAGCGAGGGAAGACGAGCTTCATGGGTCCCACCAGAGCATCCGCTGTGGCCACCTGTGCATGTGAGCAGGCACAGCCGGTGGCGGGGCAGGGGGGATGGACTTGGGCATGGCATGGGAATGGCATGGAAACGGCATGGGAATGGCATGGGTGCGTGCATGCATATGAAGGGACTCGTGAGAATGTAGAAAAGGAAAAGGAGAGTGTGCATGCAGAGGGTCCAGAAGGGGATGGCTTCTCCATGTGTACATGGTAGGCTTGAAAGTGGATATAGGACATGTCATGTCATATGCAACACAACACAACACAACACATGTGGTGCCATAGCACCATGCCATACCGTGACCATGCCATACCGTGACCATGCCATACCGTGACCATGCCATACCGTGACCATGCCATACCGTGACCATGCCATACCGTGACCATGCCATACCGTGACCATGCCATACCGTGACCATGCCATACCGTGACCATGCCATACCGTGACCATGCCATACCGTGACCATGCCATACCGTGACCATGACGTTGTCTCCAAAGATGGGCGAGGAGCCAAACACCCAGAACACGTCGTACAACAGTAGCCCCACCAGCACTGCTGACGCCACCGCGAAGCTGATCGGGGGGAGGGAGAGAGGAGAGGGCGAGAGGGAGGTATTGAGGGGAGAGTGATGACGAGGTGCATGGGTGATGTGATGAGATGAGGATAGAAGGTGGTGGGAGGAGGGAGGGAAGGCCCAAAGGGAAGTGTGTGGGCAGATGGGTGAAGAGGACCCAACACCCAGAACACGTCGTACAGCAGCAACCTCACCAGCACTGCTGATGCCACTGCGAAACTCATCGGGGGAGGGAAGAGAGGGCAGAGGAAGTTGTAAGGGGAGAGTGATGAGGAGGAGCGTGGGGGGAAGGTGGGAGGGAAGGCTCCAAAGATGGGCGAGGAGCCAAAGACCCAGAACACGTCGTACAGCAGCAGCCCCACCAGCACTGCTGATGCTACTGCGAAGCTGATCGGGGGAAGGAAGGAGAGGGTGAGAAGGAGTTTTAAGGGGCAAGTGACGAGGAGGCGTAAGGAAAGGCGCATCAACTTCCCTCTTTCCCACCCCCCCCACAAAATCCCTCCCTCCCCCCTCACCCTCCCGCCTTCCCCCCTCATCCCCCCACTGCCCCTTCTCTCCCCCTCCCTCCCCCGCCCTTAGAAACCATGCCTCTCCCCAAATCTGAGGACAGTAGTCGTACCTCCTAAGGGAGAGCATCTGCAGCACCTCGGAGACAATGCAGACAGCCACGATGTTGCCCAGGGAGAAGGGCGCTGACGGCTGCATTGATGCCACCGCCATCGCCATGCCCACTTGTGTGAGGGGGGGAGGGAGGGAGGGGGAGTGCGGGCAGGGTGGGGGCCCGCGCACAGGGGGTGACTGACAGGAGTTAGGGGCGGTTGAGGGGATGGATTGGGGGGTTGGGGATGGAGGGGATGTATGCAGGGGGGATTAAGGGATGGTAGTAAAGAGACAATGCAGACAGCCACTATGTTGCCCAGGGAGAAGGGCGCCGAGGGCTGCATTGATGCCACCGCCATCGCCATGCCCACTGGGGGGAGGGAGGGGGGGGGGGGGGGGGGGGGGGGGAGGGAATGGCACGGCGGGGATAGTGAAGAGGATGGTTGAGTTGAAATGGGATAGGTGCGAGATTGAGCTGAAATAGAGGGTGACTAGAGGGGGGAAGCGAAGGGCGTTTCGTGCCACTGCTAGTGCCACTGCTAGTGCCACTGCTAGTGCCCCATGCCCGCCCACTGCCATGTCCACTGGGGGGCTTACATATGCGGGCAATGAAAGTGCGATTGCAGAGGAGTGAGGAGAGGAGCAAATGAACGAGAGCAGCAGCGGTTGGAAAACAGGAGGGGTCGGTTGAGGAGGATATGGAGGCAAGAACGGGGAGGCAAGAGGACAGGAGGACGGGAGAATGGCGGGTGGGGGGAAGGGGGGAAGGGCGGATGGGAGGACAGGAGGACAGGCAGAGGAACGCAATCGACAGGTAATAAGTGCCAGATCATTTGACAGAGGTGACTTTTGAGTCGACTCAAAAATCATTTGACAGCACAGCACACCCATCCCACACCATGCCATGCCATGCCATGCCATGCCATCCCTTTGCGTCCCGTCCCGCCCAGTTCCATCCCCTCCCCTCCCGCCCCGTCCCACCCCACCCCATCCCCAAGCACGGAATCCCCTGACTGCCTCTGTGAGAGGGGCCTGTTGTGACTCACGGGCAGCAGAAAGCACGTCGGATGCAGAGAGGGTGAGCACTGCTGGTGCAGGTGGGGACGAGGAAGAGGAGGGGGTGGGGGAGGGAGAGGAGGAGGGAGAGGAGGAGGAGGAGGAGGAGGAGGAAGGGGAGCTCTCTAATAGCCACGAGGGGATGTCTGGAGGTTGGGGAAATACAAGGGGACAGGGGGGAAGAGAAGAGAAGGAGAGTAAGATGGGAAAGGTGGGAACGATGGGAGAGAAGGTAATTAAAAGTGAAGTGGAAAAAAAACGAAAGGGAGCGGAGGAAAGGGGTGGGGAAGGGCGAGTGATGAAGGAGAGAGAGGGAGAGAGAGAAATCGTACACAGGGCTGGGAGAAAGGAGGGGGGAGGAAAACGGACAAAAAAAAGAACAGAAAGAAGAGTACGAACAGAATAAACCACAAACTAGGGGACGGGCAAAGGACCAAAGCAATTACGCCCATGAGCGTGAGGTAAGTGGCAAAGAGAGCAGGACCCGCAGCCGCACTGCACAGCACAGAACAGAACAGAAACGCACAGCACAGCACGAAAGAGCACCGCAACGCACAGCACAGCACAGCAGCCACGCACCTATCCTACCACCACCACACAACCGCACACACACCTAGCGTGACCGAAAGCCTGTCGTTGATCTCCTTGGGAAGAACTGCTTTGAGCGAGTCAGCAAGGTGGCTGGCCACTGCAACCCCGCCGACGAGCGTGAGGTAGGAGGAGAAGAGCAGGCGCAGGTCAAAGTCCCAAGCCACACAGCACAGAAACCCACTGCACCGCACACCACCGCACCCACCTAGCGTGAGGGACATCCTGTCGTTGATCTCCTTGGGCAACGCGGCCTTGAGCGGGTCAGCTAAGTGGCTGGCCACTGCAACCCCACCGACGTGCGTGAGGTAGGAGGAGAAGAGCAGGCGCAGGTCAAAGTCACAAGCCACACAGCACAGAAAACACACTTCACCGCATATCACCGCACACCCACCTAGCGTGAGGGACAGCCGGTCGTTGATCTCCTTGGGCAACGCGGCCTTGAGCGGGTCAGCTAGGTGGCTGGCCACTGCAACCCCACCGACAAGCGTGAGGTAGGAGGAGAAGAGCAGGCGCAGGTCGAGGTCCGGGGCGAAGCGCAGCAGGCAGTAGAGGGAGAAGAGCGCGAGGGAGCAGAGGATGGGCACTGCCATGCCCTGCTGCATGCTCACCGCCTGCACTGGGGGCCGCGTGAGGCTGGGTTAGGGGGAGAAAGGGGGGGGGGCGGGTGGAGGGAAAGGGAAGGAGGAGGGGGGGTGGGTGCGGGTCATGGCTTTTGACGGCGCCCACCTGCAGGGGCTACCCTCGTACACCGTGCTATTTTTTGCAGTCCCAATAAAACGGCCTTACTACTTTTCGCAAAGCATGAGCAGTCGAGGCGCCTCAGAAATCGACCCATAAGCGCACCTGCAGCGAGGGGTAAAAAATCGACCCCTCACGCAGACGCGTCAACGGGTGAACAAGAGAGCCCAGAGCTCTCACCACACCTGCGGCGGCTGCCCCTGTCTTTTAAGGCGGTTTTGAGAATTCTCGAATCCCCTCAGCACGGTGCACCTGCGGTGGCTTCCTAAGTAGACGACAAACAGCGCACCTGTAGTGAGGGGTAAAACATTTCACCCCTCACGCGTCACGCGTCACGTGTCATGTGTCACGCGTTAAGAAGCTGAGCGCGGCGCACCTGCGGTGACTGCCCACGTAGACGGCCCAGAGCGCGAGCAGGCCGAAGTAGAGCGGCGCGGACCACTGGCAGCGCGGCAGCGCGGGCACCACGGGCACGGACAGCAGCAGCACGCCCAGCGCTGCCTGGCGGAGGGGGAAGGGGGGAATGCGCGCGTGGGAGCTTTTGAGTCGACTCAAAGGCAGCGCGGGGACCACGGGCACGGACAGCAGCAGCACCCCCAGCGCCGCCTGGCGGAGGGGGGGGGGGGGGGGGGGGGGGGGGGGCAACGCGCGCGCGGGAGGACGGGGAGAGGGGATGGTTGGCGGAGGGCGAGAAATGGGAGAAATGCGTGGCGGGGTGGGGGGAATGCGTGGCGGAGGACTGGGAAGGGAACCGGGAGAAGATGGCAGGGGCGAGGGAACGGCAAAGGTCCTTTTGTGTGGACCGTTGAGTGTGACTCCCGCACTCTTTCTCTCCCTCTCTGTCTCCTCTCTCATCCATTTTCTGAGGTACCTTGGTCTCCCACGACGTTGACCAGCTTCCTTTCTCTGCCGCCGCCACCGCCGTCTCCTTCCCAGCCCTCAAAATTGACACTTGAGTTAGACTCGTTTGACTCGTTATACTAGATATTTACTACCTTGGGCTCCCACGACGTTGACCAGTTCCCTTTCTCTGCCGCCGCCTCATTTCCGGCGATGCTTCCTCCGCCAACCGAATCCGCGCTTGCAACAATGGCAACTTCCGCTTCCGCTCTCGCTACTGCTTTCCCTGTTGGAAATTCCGCTGATTGCGCTTCCGCCGCAGATACTTCCACCGGTGATCGTTCCGCCGGTTGCGATTCCCCGGAGATTGATAGGTCGCGCGCGGAGTCCCCTTCCGCCGATCGCACGGACACAGTCAGGCGGCGGCGCGCGCAGCGCAATGGTCCTCTCGCCGCCTTGGCGGAAGGTGAGGCGATTCGGCGGGAAGAGGGAATTGCGGCAGTGGCGGCTACGGCAGTAGCGGTGCCATGGGGAGAGGGAAGGCGGAGAGGAACGCAAATCGGGGCAGCGAGGGGCGACGACGAAGCGAGCGCGGCAGAGAGGCGGGACACGGCTGACGAATACGGCAGCCGCGGACTGGCAATTTTGCTTGCCGTGGCGACTAGCGATGTGTGGTGAGATGCCGCCATGGCTCTTGGACGGGAGAGATGGCGGGTGACGAACAGATAGCTGGGGCTGGAGTGGATGGATGGAGGGTGAAGTGATGGGAGTTGCTCCCCTCTGATCGTTGCGGGAAATCCAGATGTTTTGTGACCTCTTTTCTCTTCCCGAATTTCAAGAGTCAGACACCCCAATATCTATGGAACTCTATCCAATATAAATCATGGTATCCAAGCTCTGGGAAACTTTATTTGAGGTACGGAATCTACGTAAAAGCATATATAGCTGAAAGAATTACATTAAACGTAAGATTAAGTTGCACGTATCATCTGGAGGGTGCTTAAAAAAAATACTGAAAGCCATAGCCATGGCGGGTGCACCCATTGGCTGAAATGTACCTCAACGCGCACTACCAAAAACATTCACAGCGTGTGTCGAGGGTAATGTACAGACGGTTGTGATGAAAACACGGAGACACACTTACTTGAGACAGAGCTCTTCCATTCGTAGATTTCAGGTGCCACCCAGAAATACACCCTGATTGGTTTGAAGTATTGGCGGGACCAAAGTACACGCAAGCACATGCGTTGAGAGGCTCTTGCCACGTATGCGGCAACAGGTGCTTGTTATGGGAGCCTTTTTAGGTGAGGACAAGATGCACCGTGCAGACCAAATGTATAAAATTTTGTTTGTTGATATATGATTCCACAAGTATACAGTTCTATGGTTTGTAATATGCGCGCTCATATATGTTTGTGCTTGCTGCGATCAGCAGTTGATCGTAGCCCAGGATCTACCCAGGAAGGTTCGCACGCAGTGAGATAGTTTGGTGGGCCCTTGACCTCAATAGCAGAGTGAATGTAAAATGCTTGAGATGAATAAAACATGCAAATACAAGAAATATAAATATGAGTACAAGGGAATACGAAACGACCTAACTAGCCATGTACTCTAAGGGGTACATTCCCTTATTCGAATTCATTCCAACCGTGCGGCGCGTACAGTTTCGTAACTGTTCCCGCCAAAACCATCCTGCCTGAAGCTGCCCGATGCCATCTGCTCCGACGGTCCAGATGTGCTGTAACCGTCTGACTCTTCGGTTCAATTCCAACTGTCTGACGCTTCGCGTTCATTCCCGATATTGCCTGCTGCGGTGAGGAGTGCACTGTAATATCAAATATTACTATTCGTAACACCCCCCTTCACTCCTGGCCGTAGCTCGACTTGACCTGCTTGACCACGCCGCTGAGTTCGGAGCAGTGCTGATACTGCTGACGTGGCAGTCGCTTCGTGAGGAAGTCTGCTGCCATGTCACCCGTCGGGCAGTAGGTCAAGTTGACCTTGCCCTTGTCCACCTCGTCCTTCACGAAGAAGTACCGCAGCGCGATGTGCTTGGTGCGGTTGACGAAGCCAGGCTTGTTCGCGATGCGAATCGCGCTCTGGTTGTCGCAGTGAAGGCCGAATGTTGGCGAAGCTGGAATTTTTGCTTCTTGCAGAAGTTCCTGCAGATAGAGGCCTTCGCGAACTGCTGCGGTTGCTGCGATGAATTCCGCTTCGGCTGATGACAGGGCAACCAACTCCTGCTTCTGTGAATTCCAGGAGATTGGCCCCGATGGCTCGAGTCGGAACAGGAAGCCAGTCCTGGACCGTCGATTATCAGGATCTGCTGCGTGGTCGGCATCCACGCAGCCGACGAGGAGCAAAGCTCATAGCAATATAAGAGCCAGCAGGGAATAATAATAAAGAAAAAAGTAAGATGGGGTTGGTGCAGTTGAGTAGCACAGCCCAATCTTGGGCGTTGAAATGAAGAATTGAAGGGCGCGCTGCAGGTCCAGGAGATTCTCAGCCGTTGGTTTGCGTGAGTACTGCGCAAGCTGACTTGCGATGTACGAGAGGTCTGCATCCCAACTGCTGCTGGTAAGTCTGAATCCCAGCAGGGGATAGGGCTTTGTTGTCAGGTTTGTGGTTCGGTCCGGGGGTTCGGTAGGGAGTTGAGAGGGGTGCAGGTGAGATGTTGAACCGCTTCCCTAACTCCTCTGCGTACTTAGCCGCTGAGAGGTGAATGGCCTCAGGCGCGTAGGAGATGTTGAGGCCTAGGAACTGCTTCACCTCGTAGTTGCACGTAATGTCGACGCGCCCCGCCAAAGCTTCTCGAACTGTTCGAGGAGCTCGTTGTTCGACCCTGTGTAAAGCAGGTCGTCGACCTACACCGTGAGAAGAATGTATTCGCCGCGGAAATCGCGGCGGTACATTCCTGGATCGTGCGGCATCTGCTTGAATCCAATTTCAAGCAGGATGTTGTGCAGGTACTGCTGCCACAGCCTCGGTGCCTGTTTGATGCCGTAGAGTGACTTTCGCAGCTGACACACGCACCCGTCTCCTTCGCCGTAGGTGTGTGGCTGCTCCACGTAAATCACGGCGTCCACTAACGCGTACAGGAACGCGTTCTTCACGTCGATCTGGCGGAGTGGTAGGTGCCTTGCAGCTGCGATGGCGAGCAGGATGCGGACGGAGGTGTGACGGCTAACCGGGGCGAACGTCTGGTCGAAGTCAATCCCGTGCCTCTGATCGTATCCGCGAACCACCCAGCGCGCCTTAAAGCGTTCGATCGTCCCATCCGCTGCGGTCTTCACGCGGAAGACCCACTTCCCCGAGAGAACCCTTGCTCCTTTGATTGCTGCGCGGTCGATGAGTACCCAGGTATCTCGATTCCAGCGCCTTGATTTCCGCGTCCATCGCCTCACGCCACTCCTTGCTGTGTGGTCCAGAGAGAGCCTCGCGCGGGTTTCGGGGCTCGATGATGCGCGGCGCCTTCGAGGTTGCGGTGTGAAGCCCGAGCAGCTGTAGTCCTGAGACGGTGCTGTCGTGGCGACGTTGCGGGATGACTTCCTGCACATCGTCGTCATCGCTTTCAGGTTCAGGTGGTGCTGGTGGTGCTGCGCCTCCGCCGCTTCCGCCTGTTCCGCTTCCGCCTGTTCCTCCTCCCGAGGAATCATCGTCGTCGTCGTCGCTGCTGCGCCGATCTTCCCAAGTGAATTCGGCCCTGGTGTCTTGCTCCAGAAGTGCTGCAGCGGCTTCGTCTTCGGGCGTTGCGTAGCTGTGCCCGTTGTTCGCGTAGACGCGATCTGCATTCCTCTGCTCGTCGTCGCGGAACTGGTCGAGGAAGAGACGTTCATAAAAGATGACGTCGCGAGCATGGGCAGTCTTCTGGCTGAGGAGATCCAGCACGATCCACGCCTTGTATTCGTGACTGATGCCGAGGTGAATTCCCCAGCGCGCGCGGCTGGCAAATTTGCCTGTGGTTGAAGTCGGCGGGCGGTATTGAACCATGCACCCCCACACGCGGAGCATGGAGGTATCCCCTTTGGTTCCGCTCCATTTGACGTGCGGGGACAGGTTGCCGGTGATTGCGGTGGTTGAAAGCAGGTTATGCACCCGCACGGCGTGGTGCATCGCGTAGGTCCAGTAGATCGGCGGCAATTTCGACTGCTTCATCAGCGCGCGCACCTTCGTCATCAGTGTGCGGTTCGTCCGCTCAGCTACGCCCTGCTGCTGGTGCGCGTAGGGGAGGGAGATGTGGTGCTCGATCCCCTTTTGCGCCAGGAAGGTCTGCATCTGGTTGCTCCTGAACTCTGCCGCGCCGTCAGATTGCCAGATTTTGAGCTTCTTCCCAGATTGCCGCTCCGCATGCGCCAGCCAGAGGCGAAATACCTCGTAGGCTCTGTCGCGGGTCTCCACGTTCACGACCCACAAACAGCGCGTTCCAGCGTCGATGAAGGTGAGCGTGTACAATTCGTCCTCGACTCCACAGTGCCCCACGTTCAGGAATCGCTATACACCTTGTGCAGCTTGGGGTAGCGATTCGTTCCAGGTTCGAGCAGCGGGAACGGTTGGTGGCTCAGCGCAGCTTCGGGGCAGACAGTGCAGTTGCGCGGATGTGTTCCGCCACTCACTTCGGAGCCGTCAGGGCGCAGGAGTGCGCCAGGAGCGAAGACACCAGCGTTGATGCAGTTTTTCAGCGTCGCGCGGGAAGGATGTCCGAGGCGCTGGTGCCAGAGTGCATCGTCAGCGCGAAAGCCGGAGGTGCGCATGTAGCGCGCGCGTACCTCCTCAGGGTCTTCGTCAGGTGCGGGAGCAGGTTCTGCTGCTACTTCTTCTGCTTCTTCTTCTTCTGCCGCGGTAGTCAGCATCAGCGCCAAGAACTCTCTGTCGCGAATTTCAGAGAGCGGGATGTTGGTCCCAGGGATGGTTCCAGGGACAAGGGTAGGTTGGCGTGGCTCGGGGGCAGGTCCGTAGACAGTGCGGCGTGGTGTTGACGGCTCGTTGCCCCAGATGATGGTGTCCCACGGGTCGCGATGCGGGGGAATGTCTGCAGGAGGTGGTGCGAGCGGGATGTGGCGCGGGGGACGACCGAGAGGAACGACTGCAGGTGCTGCTTCGGTTTCCTCGGCTTCTTCCTCTTCCCCCATTCGTTCGTCGCGAGAAGTGCCCCGGCCGCTATTGTCGGTGCCAGATGCGGCGCCCCATCCGCCGGTTGCGGTTGCCCAGGTTCCGCCGGTGTCTCCCCATCCGCCGGTGTCATTTGTTCCCTATCCTCCAGCGCTCCCCCACCCCCCTTCATTGGAGGCGCTCACTTCCTCCTCAGCTCCCCAGGCGTCGCAAGCAAAGGTCCCGCGGGCTTCCGCGAGGCTTTGCTGGCGAAGCTCCTCGGCTTCGCGGCGCGCCAGTTCTTCTTCTTGCTCCACGGTAAGCTTCTTTTTCGAGTTGCGCTGGGTCGAGTAGACTTCCAAGAATTTCTCGTAGGTGTAAGGGCCCGGTTCGCCAAGGGCATCAAAGGTCCCGACCCCAGTTCCGCGCAGCATGCCTTGCAGGTGCTGTGAGGGGGGACCGATGAGGGGATGCTCTTCGGTGCCGAAAACGCCGTGGGTAGCAACTTCAAGCTCGAGCTGCGACATCCCTTCCTCGGGGGGCGCGTTGCGCTCTGCTTCAGCTATGGCGGCGAGCCTGCGGCCTGCAATCGCGCTTGTTG